CGAGGATTATGAGAGCTGGCAAGTGATGTGAAACATCTAGAGGTCCAGTCTAAATGACTGGGCTTTCAATGAAATTTTATAAGTAAAAAATAACTGAAAGTAAAGTTAACAGGCCCTACGAATTTATATGCAAGTAATTTCTTATATTACTAGATAACCGGGTAGGAAAGGTTTCAATGTCGATTAAAAAGATATAAAAACAGGCACGAAGCGCAGACGCACCTATTCGGGTTTCGTAACTGATCCACCAGAAGGCGCGCTATATTGATGTCCAACTCGAGGTTGAAACTGTAGGTTAGGAAATCCGTGCAGAAACCCAGAGAGGCGGCATTCGGCTTGGTACCCGAGAGGATAGCCAGCAGAGGGAGGCTAGTCACCTTCTGGTCTGCCAGATCTCGCAACCTGCGTACCATGTTCTCGGGATCGGAATATTGAAGGACAACTTTGACTGGGAAGGCGAACTGTACAGGCCGCAGGAGGGTGACGGGTCGTAAAAAAGGAGATTCAGAGAAGATGCCAAAGGCGTTCTTTGCGGAGAGGAGGGAGTTCAGGGCTTCCAGTATCTGCCTTTCAGTCTCCGTGCGTCGAAGAGGGAGGAACTGGCAAGTTAAAGCCGAATTGTGTGACCTAGCCAAACCTACGAACAGAATAAAAGTTAGGAGATGCAATCAGCTGATGCTTGAAACTTTATATAAGCCTGACCACGTCAAGGTGTCAGCGGAATGATTTTGTAATGAAATAGTAGCAAGAGGAAAACTCCTGCAAATTCGACAGCTCAACAGATTTCAAGAATGTGGGATCTGATCCATTGAACTGAGAGGGCATCATGAGAATGTCATTTTCTTCAACGACGCGTGGGTGGGGCATATAAGGAAACCGTTAAACAGGAAAAATGGTTTAGAACTGAGATGCAGAGCGTGACAACATATTTTCCTCAAGTGAATAAATAATTAATTGGCATGGGCCCGTACCGTCTAAAACAGGAATCGGCAGCCAATACCGTATGGTAATGGCAAGGAGCAACTTGACTGGCGTAAAAAAAGTCCAGCTGAGCCAAACGTAGGCGAACCAATGGCAATGGAGAAGATGAGGGCCATAATCAAAAGACGTGTAAATAGAATCAACGGAGAATTATCTCTAAATTTATACCCCCCTACCACCAACCCTCTACGCCAACCCGAAAGTACATCTATAAATCTAGCTCCCTCTCGAGTTTTCGTGTCAAGTGCAGATAAGTCTTCGCCGTTTACGAAAGTATGTCATGTATCGATGCAGCGGACTGACTCAAAGATAGCTGTTGGAAGGACGTCAACCTTGAAGCTATCCTGAAGTGTGCACGCACAGCGGCACTACCCCAAAGGTAAATAAACGATGGGGGGACGATAGAAAGTCACAGGATGGTGTAAAGCGAATGGGTAGGGCGCAGAATGGCTGGTAAACCCCATTGTTATAGGCATCTCGCAGAGGACACACAGGATAGCACTTAAATACGGGCAACGGACGGCTGATAAGTGGTCCACTAATGATCGACAGCTGCAACACTCCTTGAGACATTGCGCACATTACTGCACGCCTCGCGGGTAAAGGGCTAGATGATAACGGACATCTGTAGCACCCGTTGCAGCACATGCACCTCAAAGTCCCTGGGGGGGGGGTTAAGGACAGGAGGGTAATCACGCAGGGAAAAATCATCAGAATTAACGCACCCATCGAGTTAAACGCTCATCCGGCCTACGGCCAAAGTAGCTATTTTACAGTATTTCCGTTTTGTTCAATTGCCAGAACGCCTAATGAAAACAAACTAAACAGCAATACCGAAAATAAGTGATCCCAAAGGTTAACGAATATGGGCTTTCGCCGATTAGCCTTTTAGGTAGGAAAATTTCCAAGCCTAAAATAAGGGCGAAAAACACGGAAGGCCACCCTAAAAATTAGCATAACGACAAAATTACAGTATACTATTCTGGTGAACACATGGTTTAAGCTATTAATCGATATTCGCCCTTTAAATCCCAACAACCTTCTCATAAGATAGACCGTATAAGGGCAAATGAATTAAAAGGAAATGAGAAACGGAAGAATCGGAAACGTGAGAAGGGATAGGGGGAATAGTTAACGAACGAAGAGGAGAAAAGGAAAATTATCAAAAATAAGAATACGAAGTGAAGTTGGAGGAGTTGCTCACTGGCGGCATATTCGACAAATTGCCTTGGACTGACAGCGTTGGGGTTCAGTTTGATTGACGGATCCCCGTCTGGTTTCAGTTTCGTAGGTTCCTCTTCTTCCATGACGTCGGCGGGGACTGCCTGTGGCATGGCAGCAGATAACTAAAAGCTGCCGATGGCAGACATGTTTACAGAATTCTGATAGTTGCCGGCGCTGCCGAAGACGGAGTTTGAGCTGCTCGTTGCGGGCACCGGATTAACGATTGACCTCACTGTATGATAGTTCGCAGTGGTCGTTACCGTAGCGTATTAACCGTTGTAAGGTATGACGCCGCCTATGAAGACAAAATGTTAAAAACAGATAAAAAGGCAATTGCTGAGAGGCTCAACTTACTTAAGTATAAGAAGAAAGATTATCAGAAGAGCTGGCAGGCGGATCTCCAAATATGCATAAGGTACGGGTGAGGGGAAGGGGATAGGTATGGAATATTGAGTGACGGAAAGCTTTTTTCTTTTCATTAAGCACTTCAAAAAGCATTAACTTCAACAAAGTGCGAAAGTTACGCAGCGTCTCATTTCCTCCTGACAAGAGCAGTGAAAATCCCATGGGCTTCGTAAGTCGCTTCCCCAGTCTTCACTACTCCTCTCCAGGCCTATCGATCCTGGACGAGATCCGGCAAGTCACCTTGTTGTCAAAATTAGTATGCCTTGAAACTGCACTTACGAGATATTCGGATTTATTCGCTGATGCAAGTTGACTGTCATTGAGCTTGATATGGGATTCACTGTACTCCGCGTTGGCCGCGCGTTGGACATTACCACCATCTTCCCAAATGTATGGTCAGTCCGAAGATAGAGCAAAAAGAAGCGGGATTTACATTTCCCTACATGCCTTATTCCGTTGTGTTATTTAGTGCGCAGTTATCCTCCGACAACTGATCATGGACGCCGATCTTCAATAGACTCTGGGACGCTTAATGTTGCTAAATGTCGAACAAGTTTCCGTTAGTTCATTAGGTCATGGATGTCCCCGAACGCTCTTTGCGGTAGGCATTAAACAACCTGGCGGAGAACACGAAAATGGAAAGGGCTGAGTCTAATACGTAGCCCCAATCCCCCCTCCCGCATTGCTCACGGTGAATGCTTCAGAGATTGCACCAATGTCCGCGGCGCAAGCTAACGTCCCTTCGTGCATTTGGGGCATTATTCGTATGAACTGCTCCGTAAATCCAAATTTTTACATTATTTTCCAGAATACATAGTAGTGAAATGTATCGAAGGCCTTCATCAATCGACGAAGACAGTGTACGCGTTCGCGCTCATCTCCTGACCGTTCTCCATTATTTCACAGGCTGCGAAGATCTTGTAGATCATTCTGCGGCTTCTGTAAAATCCACATTGACTTTCTGGCCTTCGACGATTGTTGTTCGGCTTAATTTCCGTTCTCAAATAGCATACATAGTCAGACCGAACATCTTGATCATACCTGTCCAAGGCGGTCGCTCACAGTTAGTCGAAAAGTTGGAGAGATTATTTCGCGAATAAACCGTTCTTAGCAATACTCAACTGCGAGACCTGATCACCTAAAACATCTGCCCTCCATTGAATTGATAATAAGTGACTTGCTTGTCCGTGGTGTACCAGACTGGAGACGTGGCCCAAGATCCGAGACCGTAACATTCTTAAGGAGAACAAGCTGTAAAAGCTTCCACCTTCCTCGTGTCGAACATTCTTACAAGGCAAAGTTTTCCAGATGTTAAGAATGATGGGCATGGCTCTAGTCTCTCAAAGGTCAATCATTGGATGGACTGAACTATTTACGAGTACAGTGGTCGCCGGTTATTAAGCCCACTGTTAATAGGCCCAGCCGCTTATTAAGCCCAGGTCAGCTTGGGACGGAATTTTACATAGCAAAATCCGCCGGCTTATAAGCCCATTTGGTCTGGGCCCGAGGTTGGCTTAATAACCGGCGACTACGGCAGTATGCGGTGAGTTATATCCCCTCGTCATTATTGAGTCAGTAGTATAGACGCGCAGAGTGAAATCAAACATTCTACGGTGTTGAGGCTCAAAATCTTGGAGGATGATTTTAGAATGCGAAGTAGCCGAACACAAGCGTAATTCACTGGAGTGACTGCCATGCAGTCGGGCGCACATTATGCTTTAGTGAGATTTCCATGCTTAATCCGGTCATCAGCCTATACACATCCGAGATAAGATTACTACACCAATACTTCCTAAAGAGACGCATGCTCAGTCAAGTGACTAGACTTAGTGCATGACGCGTACAACGAAATGAATATAAGGCATGTATAGCTGTGCGATTGGATTCCGGTACAATTATCAATGGCCATGATGGGATACTTTAGCCAACCTTGATGTAATCCGATGTTGGTAACAGCGGCGAAATCATCACATGCGAAATCATCACATGCTGAGCCTTCGCACTCGATTTACTTATCGCAATTACGACTTAAGTCTTACCTACACATTTTATTGGTTTCGGTAGCACAATGTCGGCCTCGACTGCCGATAACGGCATCACCCTGCAAGCACTATTACGCAACGAACATAAGGTGAGAGGGGATCACCGCCGCAAACAAAAAATATGGTATGAGCGCGAGCGTGCGTTCAATGCATACGTTTGTCAGCGCACAATTCAGGCCCAAAAGGTGCCTTGCTGAATACTAGTTAAATAAAATACGTCTTTTACATTTTTCTAGAAAATGATAATCAGTACATTTACTTATAACGAAAAGACGAGCTCCATCAATTAGTAAAGAAACCAATGACTATAATACGAATGCGTCACCAAACAACCAATCAATTGACACTCAAGCGGATTTAGTACTATAATACTAGTACTAGCATTTACATTATAGTGTACATGCTAGTATATAGTATACTATGCACTATATAGCATGTGATATAGATATCTACTATATATAGCTCTATAGCTACATGTTATGCGGCAAAACCCAATCATGAGGACCTAAGTGGTGAGAAACTGATGAATTTGTTTGAAAAGTGATACAATTTAAGGTAAAAAATAACCATTACAAACTATACATACAAATTCCGCACTATCCCACCAACCAATTATCGTGGCCACGAAGATTTTGGCTTATTTAATAGACGCATTGGTTATTTGGCACGAATAAACAACAAATGGCATTCATGTTCAGTTAGCCGTGTGTTATCCTACTGCGTTGAAATCAAAAACATTTCATAGGTAAATGGACAGGGAAGCTTTTAAGTTCGGTTTCGATAGCGCACAGGAATCAAATGTAAACGAATTTCTAGTTTGGAAGGAGGAAGAGGGGAGTTCCACACTTGCCGTCGAATACATAATTTTACCGTAGATTATGGTTAACTGCAGTGTGAGATTCAGTGCCCACTTGGGTATAAGGCCCTCCACGTAACAGCTCAGTCAATAGGCACGCACACATATCCTCGACTCTAAGTACTCTTGTTAATTGTATAGTTGTTGGAACACGCTGTTATGGCACCACCAAAACAAAAGTCTTAATAAATACCACTAACTGAATTTGTCTGCCTCTCTATACATCCTTCTCCTTCTGAAAGCAGCTATGATTGCTAATCAAGATTGGCGAGATACTGCCAACAAGCCAACGAGGAAAAAATTACGTAAAGTTTTTCGGAGTTCTATCACAGGGGGTTAAGTAGGTTTAACACTAGCAACTGCGATCTTCAGACCATGGTTTCTTAGGGGAGAAGAG